CAAAGTATCCCTTTATTAGACAGCACATCTCTCTTTATTCAGGCTTCTTGGGTAAAGCAAGCAAACAAATTGTGGCCAAATCACCTCAAAACAACAGCAGAGCTTAAAGGAAAACAAAACCCAAGTGATGAAGAGCTGCCTGTGTACTAAACAGAATGGGACAATGCAGCTTGGGACACGAAAAGAACCCAAAGAGAGAAAACTGAGACTTGTAAAATTACAAATGAGGTGCTGATGCAAAACAAAATACAAAAAGTATGAGGGATTCAATGAGATTACAGATTAAAAAGAAGCAAGAAAACTCCCCAGAAGCCAGGTATTATTTTTGCACAGGTTGAGGGATTGATCACAGGGTGTTCTGTGGAAGCTGCAGGTACAAACTGTTGGAAATGTTTCAGCAGTGCCCTCAAGGACAGGTCCAGCAGGCTCAGACCACCTCAAACCCGAGCTGGGGCTGATGCCTGAGCTGCCTGGGGCTGCTGCTTCACTCTCCCCTAATGATTTCCTGCTGGCCACTGTCACAGAGCACATGCTGAGCCCAACACACTTTCTGCAGCACTTATTATCCCATTGTTCACATCCTCTGCTCCATGTGCTCCTGTGAAACGATGATTTCCCCAGCTCTGAAGTGGAAGGCATTAAGAACGCGTTATTTACAAATAAAGCCCAGTTTAAGTCACTTCCTTCACTTGATTAAATGGAATGTAAGAATTGAATGAAATGCTGAGCGTTTCCATTTCCTGTCACCCCATTTCATCAGGCTTGCAGCTCATTTCCTACCACCACCATTTCATTTCAGCACCTTGCACAAAGCAGTCCCAGACACCTGCTTTCATCCAGTGAAACCATTAGATAAATCAATTTGCTCTGCAAGGCAAGGAGAGTGAAGGACTCCTATGTTTACTTAGCAATAAGCACACGACTCTTTAATTAGATCTAGATGCCGAAAACTGCAACACCACGGCCACAGAACGAAGCATTTCAATTTGTTACATAAATCAATGTTTTCAGGAGGTTTTTTTTCTGCTTCCATATGGAAACAGTGTCACAGGTAGAGGCAGCTCTCCCACCCAGTTTGGCTCCCACGACACTTTTGGAAGAAACAAGCAATTAAGTTGCTGCCCCTTCTCAGCCACCCGCGGTTCCAAGCTCGATGTCGGATTGCAAGCGCCAGACTGCGAACACGCTCTGCAACCGTGGCATTTCATTTCCAAGTCAGCACTTGACACATTGAAGTATTTGGAATTCCTGAAGTCTGGCTGTCTGCACAGTTGCATAATTTGAGCAGGGATAACCTACTTCTAACTGGGAGAGGGGGAAGAATGTCAACAGACAATCCCTTCTACGTCAGGGGACATCTCCTTCCTCGTCACATGCCAGCAAAAGCACCACTGCTTTCTCACAGCTTCATTTGCTTTCTCACAGGTTGATTTTCTTTTCTTTTTCTTTAAACAACCCCTAAAAGGAGTGAAGCTACAGATATCACCAGATGTTCTCCTAGGAACGCACTCAGATGTTCTCAAAGCCCAAGTTTAGCAGATGGAATGGGTGAGGCCAGTGAAACACCGATGTGAAATACCCCACACGGGTGTGAAGGAGCCAAGGCTTGCTGCTGGCCACACAAACACCACACATCCATGCACAGAAAGGCCTTAAAGACACAAAATCTCCTTCCAGCAGGTCGTGGGGTACAACCAAACCCAACCAAACCCAACATCTGGAGGGTTGCTCAGCCTCAGACAGGAGAAGCTGTTTTGCTGTAGATCCTGTGAGCAGCACAACTCTCCACCAATACCTCACAACGAAAGCACCCCTTTGGAAAGGGCCAGAGTTTATGGTTAACCTCCTGTTGCAAAAAGCATGGCAAGGGTTCAGTTTCACCCTCTGACTGCTCTTACACACTGCAGAAGGAATATGTAAGGACAGTGTCTCCCCTCAAACCTCACAGTCAGAGGGACAGGAATTCCCTCACCCTGTAAACAAAACCAGGACAAAACCTCCCAAGCATGAGGTTTCCCTCCCTCAGCATCCATGCACCATCCACCTGGGAGACTGAAGTGGGGCTGGAAATTCCCTTCCCATGCAAAGAGACTGCCTGGAGTGTCAGCACCAATTCCAGCTCTGGATTAAAACCAGCTGTTTCAATAGGAGCAGTCCCAAGGGAGAGGCACTTAGAGCATTGTAACTGGTTCCTGGAGTAAACAGCTGGACATCAATGCAGGCATTTACACTGGAGAGCTGTGGGAGCTCCCAGGCTCAGCCCCACCTCCTCAAACAGCTGCACTGAAAGCCAGGCAAGGCCTCCAGGCTGATCACACCTGGGATCTGCACCACGTGCACACATCAGGCTGCAGCAGGAGAAAACACATTGAGATCCCGATCCCCGAGACTCCTGGGTGCTGCTCTGTGACGGGACTTGTCGCAGACATTTTTTCATAGAAATTCTTTCTTTGGGACTTGTTCGTCTTCTGGGAAGCTGAAGCCCCAGAAAGAGAATGTAAACAAGGATTATCAGCTGCTGTAAAATGCAGTAAGATGCACCTGTGATTAGTTCATGTTCCATGTGTACAATTAAGGGCCAATCACAGGGCAAGCTCTCTAGAACACAGTGACAGAGAACTCTCTTGTTTTTAGATTCTTTTCTATTCTATTCTTAGCTTAGCAGCCTCTGCAACTTCTCTCCTTATACTTTTTAGTATAGTCATAATGTATTATATATCATATATCAATAAATCCAGCCTTCTGATCATCAAACAAGATTCTCGTCCACTTCTCTCACCCTGAGACCTCATCAAGTCGCTGTGACAGGACTCATTCCCACTCACATCCCCCTGCAGGGCCCACAGAGCAGTGCCACACGTGACAAACAACCACCACCTCATCTGTGGAAACGTCCAGCTCAGAGCCAGGGACCAGCTCAACTGAGTGACCTCTACCTCAGGAAGAGCTGTCATGAGGACACCTGGTGGATATACCCCAAGAATAAATAAAAAAAAAAATTTAAAAAGGGAAAGGAAAAGCTTCCTATGAGGCAGAAGCACAGAAATAAAGCAGGGCAAAGGTGTGACTGAGAAACTCCCCATGGGGGTATGGCAAACCCAGAGGACAACAATGATTCTAGAAACATCACAAAATGGTTTGGGTTGGAAAGGACCTTAAAGAGCACATCCAACTCCCCTGCCATGGGCAGGGACACCTTCCACTAGCCCAGGGGACACCTTGCACAGTGCTCCAAGCCCTGTGCAACCTGGCCCAGAATGGTCCCAGGGATGGGGCAGCCACAGCTGCTCTGGGCACCCTGTGCCACGGCCTCACCTCCTTCACAGGGAACAATTCCCTCCCAATCTCCCATCCATCCCTGCCCTCTGTCATTTGAAGCCATTCCCCCTCATCTTGTCACTCCATGGCCTTGTCAAAAGTCACTTTCCTGCTTGCCTGGAAACTCTTCAGGCACTGGAATATATAAAATTATTTATGTGACCAGAAAAAGAGAAAGTGATGGTATTTTAGACTCATGGGATGTGCTGATACCTCGGAGGGACACACACTACTTGATTTTACTCAGCAAAGGAAACCCCAAAGTCAAAGCAAAAACCAAGGGTTAAGCTGAGAGTGTCCCACTGCAGGATCAGCTGGGCCCAGGAAGGAAAAGGGAGAAGTTTCAGCCATGGAAGATGAAACAGAAGACGAGAGCAGAGATGGGAAAGGGCTGACCTCTATGCCATGTGCAGGAGGTGATGGGAGCAAGCACAGGAATCTGTGGGAACACCCAAGGTGTGAAAGGACTCAGGGTGGAAACCTCCAGAAGCATGACGAGGAATGCCTGCCTGCAGCAAGGCTGCACCTGCCCTGCAGCAAACCCTGCACCTGCCCTGGGGGTGCACACACAGCCAGGACAGGATGCAGGCCCTTGGCAGGAAATGAGTGGTGAGTGTGGAGGAGGGGACACACAGCCCTCAGCAGTGGGCACAGCACGAGATGGGCTGCAGGACTCATCCCTCAGGCTCTGGAGGAGGATGTGTCTTTGTGGGTGGGGAAAACTTCAGCAGCTTTTACAGCCCCCTGAGGTGTGGCATTTACCAGGCTGTGCTTGACCCCATGGAAACAGGTACAGCAGAGTTTGGGAGGCACCCTGGGTGTGTTACAGGAGACAACAGGCTTTTGGCAAGCAAGAAACACATGATACCCTCCCAGAATCTGCTGATTGTGTTTATATAGGAAAATGACTCTGGAGAGATGGAAGGAGAGCAGACAAACACGAAGCAGTTACTGGCAGATGAGCACTGTGTGGGGACACAGAGGCAGCAAGGCAGACCCTGGCAGATGGACCCTGAGGAATGTGCAGAAGGGGCTGTGGTAGGGAAAAAACAAACAACAACAAAGGGACAGCGGCTCTGCCTCACGGCTAGTGGGAATCCCTCTATTTCCTCCCACGAGCCGGCACTGGAGGCAGCAGGTATCCCGTTGGGATGCAGGAAACAACACAAGTTCCCCCCACAGCCCTCGGAAGTGCAGGCTCCCGTGCGCACCCGCAGCTCCGGGGCCGGGGACACCCCTGGAGGGGAGAGAACCCCGAACACCGGGACACGAGGCACGGGACACCCCGAATACTGGGACGCGGGGCATCCCAGGGGGAGGTGGCACCCCCAAGCACCGGCACAAGGGACAGGGACCCCCCCCGGAGAACGGTGACACCCTCAGGAGACACCCCCGGCCGGGAACGCTCGGCGAGGCGCGGGGCTGACACGGCCCCGCGGGAGGGGGACACCGCGGCGGTGCACCGCGCAATGGGATCCCCCGGGGGGGCGAGCGCAGCCCCGGGGCACGCACGGCAAACACGGGGAAAGGGACGGGCCGGGAAGGGCCGGGACGGGTCTGAAAGGGAGGGAGAGGGGCCGGAGCCGGATCCCTCCCGCCCCCCGCCCCCCAGGGGCACCAGCGGCCGCCGCGCCACCGACCGGCCCCCTCCCGCTCCAGGCCCGGCCGCGCTCCCCGGTTACCTGCGGGCGGTCGGTGAGGCCGGGCCGCTATCTGGGGGCCATGACGGCGGGGCCGGGAGGCGGCGGGACGAGCGGGATGACCGGGATGGTGTCGGGGAGGGGGGGGCGGAGGCCGCCGCCTCCCCCTCAGGCGGCGCGCGGGAAACCCGGGGGAGGGGGGGGGCGGGGGGGGGGGGGGGGAAGAGCGGGGGGCGCGCGACCCCCCCGCGCGAGGGGGCGTGAGGGGCGCGCGCGCTGCGCGTGCACGCGGGGGAAGGGGGGGCGCGGGGGGGAGGGGGCAGCGCGCGCGCCTCCGTCCGAGCTCCCGCGCGCGCCGCCCGGGCACTTTGTTTGTGTCCCACAATGCACCGCGAGCGGCGGCGGGGGCGGGGCACCGCGCATGCGCACACAGAGCCCGGCGGCGGCAACGGCGGAGCCGGCACCCCGCGGGGAGAGAGAGAGGGGAACGGGGAAACAACGGGGAAATAACGGGGAAACGGGAAACTGCGGGAATACGGGAGCCCGGCACCCCGCGGGGAGAGAGAGGGGAACGGGGAAATAACGGGGAAATAACGGGGAAACGGGAAACTGCGGGAATACGGGAGCCCGGCACCCCGCGGGGAGAGAGAGGGGAACGGGGAAATAACGGGGAAATAACGGGGAAACGGGAAACTGCGGGAATACGGGAGCCCGGCACCCCGCGGGGAGAGAGAGGGAGAGAAACGGGGAACGGGGAAACAACAGGGAACGGGGAGAGAGAGAAACGGGAACGGGGAACCCGGCACCCCGCCCGGAGAGAGAGAGAACGGGGAACGGGGAGAGAGGGAGAAACGGGAGCGGGGAAACAGCGGGGGAACGGGGAAATGGAGAGAGAGAGAAACGGCAACGGGGAAACGCAGCAGGGAGAGAGAGAACGGGAACAGGGAACGGGGAATGGGAAGCGGGGAAACAGCGGGGAGAGAGAGAGGGACGGGAAACGGGTAATGGGGAACAGGGAACGGGGAACTCCAGTGAGGAGAGAGAGCACCGGGAAAAGGGGAAACGGGGAACCCCAGCCCCGGGAAACGGGGCTCTGGGCGACCCCAACGCGAGGAGAAGCGGGGTTTTTGCTGCACGGCAACGTGGAGAAACGGGGTCCTGGTGAGCCCCAGCGGGGTCCTGCTGCACCCAGCGGGAGGAAATGGGGTTCTGCTGCACTGCAGTGGGGAGAAACAGAGTCCTAGTGAACCCCAACGTGGGGAAATGGGGCCGTGGTGAACCCCCGCAGGGTCCTGCTGCGTCCCAATGAGGGGAAACAGATGTTAGTGAATGCCAGTGGGTCTTGTGCCATCCCAACAGGGGGAAACGGGGTGCTGGTGCACCCAGCTTGAGGAAATGGGGTTCTCTGTAGGGACAAATGGAGTCCTGCTGTATCCCAGCGAGAAGAAATGGGGTCCTGGTGAACCCCATTGTGGTCCTGCTGTATGCCAGTGGGGGGAAACAGGGTCCTGCTGCACTGCAACGGGGAGAAACAGGATCCTAGTGAACCCCAAGTGGGGGAAAACAGGGTCCTGTTGCACCCAGCATGGGGAAATGGGGTTCTAGTGAACCCCAACAGTGACAAACAGGGTTCCAGTGAACCCCAGTGGGGAGAAATGGGGTCCTGGTGAACCCCATTGGGATCCTGCTGTGTCCCAGCGGGGTCCTGCTGCATCCAGTGTGGGGAAATGGGGTTCTAGTGAACCCCAACGGGGACAAATGGGATCCTGCTGTATCCCAGCAGGGGAAATTGGGTTCTGCTGTACCACAACAGGGAGAAACAGGGTTCTAGTGAAGCCCATTGGGGTCCTGCTGAATCCCAGGAGGGCCAAATGGGGCCCTGCTGTGCCCCATTCGGGTTCTGGTGTCCCCCAGCACAGGAAGAACGGGGCCCCAGTGCCCCCCGATGGGGTAACAAGGTGTGAGTGCAGAGGCTGAGCAGGGCCTGGAGCACCCAGCAGAGAGGGGATGGAATGTTGGTGTGCCAGGAACCGGGCAGAGAACGGGGCTCCAGTGACCCCCCTTGTGCCATCAGGAGTGGGGCACCAGGGGAATGAAGGACACCAGGGAATGAGGGGCACCAGGACAGGCAGAGGCTGGGACTGGGGATTGTATGCCCCTGGTTGCACATCCATCCCACTGTTATAGATTGTTATAATATTGGCTTTTCACAAATATTAAAACGGATTCTATATGTATAATGTTAAAGTAACTATAAAGATAGTTTTTATTTCTGTTGTTAATTAAGCTTAGACATGGTAGTGCAACAGCTGCTTGTGTTAAAATGCCTGCTGGGATGGGATCACACCCACTGAACATCAGATAAAGACACTACTACAGATCTGCCAACTATCAGCACTCCCCATCTGAAGACGGTGTGGACCAAGACCCAAAAACTAGATGTAATAAAAAAAGGACTAAAACCACAGCCAAGGAATGCACATGCTCTAAAAAGGCAAACCCAAGGAGGAGCCATGCTAAACAGTTCTTAGAATATGTAAACTAGTTTGAGAAAAAAGTTTACTATTCATAAGAGTCTATAAATATGCAACAGATTGTTATAGAGAAAAAAATATTAAAAGAATATCCCCGAAAGTGATAGTGCAGTGTTAGCTGAGTGCCAAGATGCACTCGGCTGTAATAACCTTTACACTATAGTCCTTGTCTGCTGATATCCTTTATTAAACTTATTAGACTTTCACAAGAGAGTTAAATTAACGTGGTTTTCACACCATCCCCCAGCACGGGCTGTCCCGGGGCACCGGGATGATCCGGCTGTGAATCCCCCGGGGTGAGGAGCATCAGGGGGGTAGAACAGACACGAGAGATCTCTGCAGCCAGGGCTGGAATTTGGGGTTTATTGCAAAGGGCCTGGGTGCAGGGACCTGCTGGGAGCTGCCAAACACAGCTCAGAGCAGGACTGAGAGAAGAGAGGGGGAGAGAGGATGAGAGAGTGAAAGGGTGAGAGAGCAAAAGGGTGAGAGAGCAGAGTTCCCGTCACAATACCATAAATCTTCTTCTGTGTTGAATATTCTGATTCTCACTAACCAATCTAGTACAAGATACAAATCCTATAGCATTTCCATACAGCCTATAAGAATCATTAGATTACCACACTGTGTTACATTTTAAACCCTAAAAACTCCTCTTTGGGCCCCTTCTGCCAAGCTGTAGGGTCTGCTCTGACCCTTGGAGCTGTCTGCAAGCAGAGGGTGTTGTTCCATCAAAAGGGGATTACCTTCAGTCCAGCCACACCATTGTTTTCCAGTTGTTCAGTGACTGAGGTATCTCAAAGCTTGCTTTCATTTCAATCTCGCTTATAGTTTCCATATTCTCAAAATCTTTTGCCAGACAATCATATTGATAAGGCTTTCCTGTTCCATCTTCCCCAACACTGGGGCACTGGGATGCTCTGCTCCTGCATCCTCCATCTATGGAATGTCAGGGCATTCTGCCCTCCCCAAACATGAGGTACCCAGCTCCCAAAGCCTCACAAACCACCCACCACTTTGCAGCCAATCACCTTTAATGAGTCTCTAATTAATCCACCCATAATTTGGTCCGAATCTGCACTAATTCGAGTAAACCCAGCTTTAAAACAGGATGGACACAACCCTTTCCTCTGTGGATTGTTTTATGGCATGGTTTTTTGTTGCTTTGGGTTTGTTTTTGGTGATGAGCTCTCAGTAAATTGAAGCAGGAAACAGATTGAAGGCCACAGTCCAAAAGTGATAATCAGCAGTAAAAAACTTTAAAACCTGTCCCTGGAAAAGCCACGCTGCTCCATCAGCAAAAAGAAAAGGGGCCAAACTCCTTTTGTGCTGTTGTGAAAAATCAGGGATCCTTTCAGATCCTATTAGATTCTTCCTTACACAACTGGGGGGAGAACCAGAGCAGAGTTGGACTCTGCTTAATTCTCATTTCACTTCCCCTTACACTGATTTTGTGTTCCCAGGGATCTTTCTTGCAACCTGACACATGCAGCCTCCCCTTGCAATCCACCCCTGTGTAAAGCAGGAGTAAAATTGCACCAATTTCAGCTCATTACATGTCTGCAGGTGCTGTTTGCACTTTAATGAGGCATAACTTTCAAGGAAATCTGCTGCTGGCTACCCATGGTAACTCCTGAATCACAGAGGATTATGGAAAAAACCTCAGGCTGCCATGCCTTAGCTTCAAAAAGCTCTGAAAGTTCTCCATCAGGGGCTTTTTGATGGTGAAATTGTAGAATGAGTGGTTTTAGTCAACTGAGAGCCAGTGCTGGTTCCTGCAGATGCAGAATCTGATGTGCCTTTTCTTGCTGACTTCCCTAGATGTGTTGTTGCAACTTTAAAATTGCCTTAAAATGCTGATTTGTAACAATTTCATAAATAAAGAGTCAGGTGAGCCCAGCAGAGACTCTCAGTGCTGTGGGTTGTCACACGTGCCCATATCCAGCTTGAAACTTGCTCTGAGCAGGTGATGGGCTTTGCACAGGAGGGGAAATGGGTCTAAACTGCACAAATTTGTTAATTAAAATTAAGTAAAATTAAGTAAAATTGAAGTAAAATTAAGTAAAATTAAGCAAAATTAAAATTAAGTAAAGGTAAAATTAAGCATGGTCTGTGTCCTCACTGTCAAAACCAACAGTCTTTAAACCTGCTCCATGTGACCTGGAAATAAGCCATAAAATTCTAAAATAAAGAACTGCCTTGGCTTTCTTTTGAAAGAATTAATTCAGTAATTAACTAGTCATTCCTGTGTGCAGGAAGCTAAGAATAGACACTAATAGCATCCAACTGGTGAGTTTTATTCATGAAACCTTTCCTACATGTTGCACATAAAGCTGGGGATCTGAGGATCTACTGGAAAATAAACCAAATAATTTTTCTGAGACAGTGCCAGGTTCCAGAGCACCATATTTATAAAAGTTTCTCTCCTTTTTGCCATGTTAAAACCTGGTAAAAGTGATATAGGTAGGAAGAGAAGTGCTTCAGTCCTTTTATTGACAGCTTTTATAAAAGCACTATGAAATTTGTTTGCTTTCAGTCTCTAATGGTGTGTGTGCAAGATGAACTGACTTGATTGAAAAACCAGCCTACCTCAACCCTCA